GAACAAGTCTGATACCTCTTCCACATAATAAATACCACCAGATGTTTGGAGAATACTTTTCTGGTCCTTCCTCCCTTATGTACTCAAAGCTTTTCTTCTCTAAGCTAAATATCTTCTGTCTTTTAAAAGAACTTCTTTTTAAAAAATAGATTTTTATTAGTATCTTTTGTTTTTACTTTGCCTAGAATTTCCCTTTGGGGCCCTCTATATGGCACAGTGGATAGAGCACCAGGCCTGGAGTCAGAAAGACCTGAGTTTGAATCTGGCCTCAGACATTTACTAGATGTGTGACTCTGGCGAAGTCACTTAACCCTTTTTTTCTCAGTTTCCTTATCAGTAAAATGAACTGGAGAGGGAAATGGCAAACCACTGCAATGTCTCTGAAGAAAACCCCACATGAGGTCATAAAGAGTCAGACACAACTGACATGACTAAACAACAACAATAACAAAATAATTTCCCCTTGTATTCCTTCTTTTCTCCCCCTTCCCAGATGCTCTCCCTTATAACAAAGAGTTTCATCATAGCTTCTTATGGCCTTGTTTGAGTCTCCTCATTATTATGATTGTGTGACATAAACTATGAGTACTAGTGATGCACAGAGGCTGTCCACTTGTCATTCCTTGCTTTTGACACATGACCTCCTTTTTTTCTCATACTTGATGTTATCCCATGTACCTGTCCTTGGCACATATTGACTCTTGGATCATAGACAGGTCTCTTATTTCTAGTGTTGATAACATCTCTAAGTCTATTAGATTTTTTTTATATTTAAAAATTTTTTTTTTCTAATTTTTATTTTCAGTTCCAAATTCTCTTTTCCCCTTCTCCTCTCCTCCCTTACCCAATGAGAAGGCAATAAAAACATAATGCATTACTAATGTGTATAGTCATGTAAAACAAATTCCTAAATTAGCCATTTCCAAAAACATGCTTTAATCAGCACTTTGAGTCCATCACTTCTCTATATGGTGGTGGATAGCATATTTCATTATGAGTCCTTTGAAACTGTGGTTGGTTATTCTCTTGATTAGAGTTATTGAGTCTTTCTTAGTTGGTTGTCCTCATGATATTATTTTATAAATTGTTCTGGTTCTGCTCATGTTATTCTGCATCAGTTCATATAAATTTTCCCAATTTTTTCTGAAACCATTCCCTTCATTTCTTTGTTGTTCACTTGTTTCAGTCATGTCTGACTCTTCATGACTCCATTTGAAGTTTTCTCGACAAAGATACTGGAGTGGTTTGCCATTTCCTTCTCCAGCTCATTTTACAGATGAGGAAACTTAGGCAAATAGGGGTAAGTGATTTGCTCAGGGTCACACAACTAGTAAGTGTCTGAGGCTAGATTTGAACTCAGGAAGATTAGTCTTCCTGACTCCAGGACCAACACTCTATCCATTGTGCCAACTAGCTGCCTCATCATTTCTTAGCACAATAGTATCCCATCATATTCATATATCATACCTTGTTTATCATATCTTGCCATTTCCTAAATGATAGGCATCCCATCAGTTTTTCAGTTTGTTGCTACCACAGAAAGAGCTGTTATAAATATTTTTGTACAGATGGGAGAGTCAAAGGGTGTGCACAGGTTAGTGGCTTTCAGGGCACAGTTCCAGATTACTTTCCAGAATGTTTGGACCAGTTCACGAGTTCACAGATCTACCAACAGTGCATTAGAGAACCTGTTTTCCCACAACCTCTCTAGCATTTGTCATTTTCCTTTTTTGTCAGCTTAGCCAAGTTATAGTATTTAAGAGTCATTTTAAGAGTCGTTTACGTTTTTCTAATTATTAGTTATTTAGAGCATTTTTTAACATGGCTCTTGATAGCATGGATTTCTTCTTCTGAAAACTTACCTATTTATATCCTTTGACTTTCAATTGGGGAATGGTTCTTATTCTTATAAATTTGACTAAGTTTCCTATATATCTTAGAAATGAGACTTTTCAGACAAACTTGCTGCAAAATATTTTATACCTCTCCCCCTCCACACCCTCCCCCCGTCCTGCTTCTCTTCTAATTTTAGCAGCATTGGTTTTGTTTATGTAAAAACTTCTTAATTTTATGTAATTGAAATTGTCTATTTTAACTTGCTGTAAACCTCTCTTTCTCTTGTTTGGTCATGAACTCTTTCTTTATCCATAGATCTAACAGGTTTTGTAAGACTACAAGCTGATTAACAGGTTCCTGTCTACATTGGTAGAGGGAATTCCTATATCAGAAGTTCCATGTAGGTCCAGTCCTGTCTCATCCCAAATACTGTAGGTAATTCATCACTGAAAATATGCTTTAAGCTACTGTGCCCCACCATCTCTTTCTCTGTTGTCCTTTGGACTACTTGAAATTTTGATTCTTTGATTCTTTGATTCTAATTCTATTTTGGGCCAATCTCATTGTCCGTCTGTGAGCTAATTCCAGGTCATAGGATCATAGATTTAGAGCAGGAGAAGACCTTAGAGGTCATCAAATCCAACCTTCTTATTTTACAAATGGGGAACTGAGGCACAAAAAGGTTAAGATATATGTACTAACTCAAAGGATCGCCCACATAATTACATGTCATAGCTTGGACTTCTGCTCAATGTATTTAACACAATATTAGCTTTAAACAGGAACATCTACATCATTCATTTTCCATTTGTGCCATTTGTACATATTTTATGACAGTGGCAAATAACTCAGTTGTTTTATACTTAGATTGACAGAGGTTGGTTGAACAATTACTTATTACTCAATAAGCATTCATTAAGCTCTTGCTGTGTGCCAGGCACTGTCCTAAGCAGCTGTAAGTAATAATGATAAATAATATAATAATAATGATAAGTAATGATAAAGGAATCTTGTATGACTTTAACCTATGTATGAGATTTGGAGGAGAAATTTTAAGCTGTCATTTTGTTCTGCCATGTCAAACACTTTTTTTCCCCTAATCAACAAACAGTAACTGTGATGCAGGAGGATCTTATATTTTGTGCACTTTTCACTCAGTTGTGTGACTAAATATGTGGTCTACTATAGAGAATCATCTGTAAAGCCCCTCTGTTCCCTTTTCATATTTTCATTAAGAAAAACATCAATACCTATATAGAGCTTTCTCCTGAAGATTAGAGAGTAGGCATAGGGGTTGTAGTTATTTGTGCCTCCTTGGTCCTTTTTGAGTAATGGTACTATTCATCTTTAAAATTTGTTGTCGTCTTGTCAGCTTTATCTATGAAACAATCTCATTCCGTCAATGTACTCTACTCAAAGCCTTTCAAGTATGGTAGAAGCAGCCATGTTCTGCTGGTACAGCCATGAAGAACTCATGGTTCCTACCACACCACGATTGAAATACTGAAGTAGACTGTGATAGAGGACAGTAACTGTATAAAGAAAGAACTATAATGTATAACGTAAGAACCATAAATTAAACGTATTTAGCACTTGAGGGTTTACAAAACATTCATCCCACAAAATGCCCTGTGATGTAAGTAGTACAAGTGTCATCTCCATTTTCCGGAGGAGGAAATTAAAACCCAGAGAAGTCAAGTGACCATTTCACTTGAGCTACTTTTTAACCACGTCTTTCCCAAATCTACAGTTGATTTTCTTGAGCGCAAATGCAGGACTTTACAGTTATCTCTATTAAATTTCATTTTAGCTTCAGTCTATCATTCCAGCCCATTGAGTAACATTTTGCCATGCAATATATCCCTCCCAGCTTTGGGTCATAGTTGTGATCAGCATGTCATTTGTGTCTTCATATATGCTGTTGATAAAAATATCAGCCAAACAGGTCTATGGACAGATTCTTGCAGCACTCAACCAGAGATGGAACCACCTCCAATTTGACAGAGATTCATTGGTCTACACTCTTTAGATCCAGTTAGTCAACTCATTCAAAATCCTTTTAGCTGTTTATTCTTTCTTTTTCACCTCTTTTACCTTGTCTACAAGGACAAGGAGAACCTTTGTCATATTTGACATAATATTTTGTTATTAAAATCCGGCCATACTCTGTCTATGTTGTTAGTCTAGTAATTATCAAAAAAAGAAATAATGAGGTTGGGGGAGCATGACTTATAAACATTTTTGATATAGTATTATTTCTTCCCTGTTCTGCCTTATTAATGTTATAAGTGTACTTGGATTTTCATCCCTGTTCTGGAATGAGGAAAATCCTTTAAAATTCCATTTATTTTGTGAAGAAAAATTCCAAAGAATTCTGGATTTTTTAAAGAATATTTCCTTCTAAAATGCTCTCCACATCCTGAGAAAGAATTTTAGAATCTGAATGTAGATGTAAGCATACTATTTGCTCTCTCTTTTTGTTGTTGTTTTGTTTTGTTTCTTCTTTCTTGTGGTTCCTCCCATTGGTTCTAATTCTTCTTTATAGCATGACGAATGTGAAAATATGTTTAATGTATGTGTAGAGCCTGTATCAGATTGCGTACTGTCTTAGGGAGGGGGAGAAAATTTAAAACTCAAAATCTTATGGAAGTGAATGTTGAAAACTAAAAATAAATTAGTTTAAAAAAAAAAAAACAAACCCAAACCAAACCACCACAAACAAACAAACAAGAGTGTTTCCTACTTCAGAATTCTTTGGAATGACACCTAACGCCTTAGGATTGATTATGCTGAGTATTTTCCCAAGGATAATTCAGATTGAGTCAGAGCCTTAGTTCTATATTAGAAGAAAACAGAAGTTGTTTTATTTGCTTCCTCTAAAAAAGGTATTGTCTAATGTAATGCAGAATTTAAGTGAAAGTATTTGAAGTCAAATAAGGTTCATGGGTTCACAGGTCTGGACTGGAAAGGATGTCATGAAGCTGCCCAGTCCAACGTGGTTCTTTTTACAGTTTTTTGGCGTGGGATCTTAGGGTAACTCATTGTGTTGATTTATAAGGAAGAATGAATGTGAGAGCTAAAGAGATGTACGAACTATGGTTTGTGTACTCAAAAAACCTAGTTTTTTTGGTATGGTAACCAATAGTTATTTTTATTGTTTTAAGGGATCATCCCTGCATTATGTGGACAGGAGGCTGCAGGAGAATTCCTGTCTTAGTGTTCCATGCAGAGGCCATTCTGACAAAGGACAATAACATTCGAGTAATTGGAGGTAGGTGTTATTGCTGGTACCTTGTTTATCCTTCTGTGACATTCCTGAGCATTCTTGTAATACCTCGCCTTGCAGAAGCTGAGATTACGTAGAGGTAGGAAAGAAGACTTTCTGTGTGACAATTATTTTGATATTCCGTGTTTGAAATGATTTTTCATCTCAGACTACTTTTCCCATCTCATGTTCTCTTGTCACTGTCTAATGCTGTAAGTGTCATAATTAGTCTGTAGATATCTACAGACTAACCTATTACTGTTTGGTGGTATGAAAGAGATTTTTCCCCCTTAAATGGAATTTAAACTCTGTTCTTGAAGTGGTAGGAAGCTCTTTAAAGTCTCTAATCTCCTAACAGTAAGATGGGTTCAGGGGAGGGTCACTATCTACTTGTGGGATTTGAAACCTCTGGACTTATACTTCCTCCTAATCTTTCTAGCTCATTAATGGGACATTGCTTAAAGGGACTTAGTTCAGTAGTATCAGCTGAAAATAGAGGAACTGAAATTTTGCTACTGTTTGTTAAGAAGCTTTATCTTGATGTGACATTAAATATACTGAAATTTAAAATTAAAAACACATTTTTCACATTGCACAACAATCAATAAACACCTACTAGAGGAAAAAAAAAACCCATCACATTCTTAACCTGCCTTTGCTTGAATGTTCAAATGATCACTTGTATTCTGTAGCAATAGACAGACCTCTTAAAATTTGGATGCCCATAGGAAACTCATCATCCTGCCAGATCACATCAGATTTGGTCCTCATACCTCTTCAGTACACTCTGCTCATGTTTGGAGTGAACTCCTCTCAAAACCTCCATTTAAGGAGGATATCAGTCCACCTCTCAAAACTTCCTTTTAAGGAGGATATCAGTTCAGCCATTTCTTCATTTCCACTCAACTGTATGGCTTTGGACTTCTTCAGCATGCCCCCATGCTCGATACCTCCTTCCTCTTTTCATTTTCCTTTCATGTGTTGTCTTCCCTTGGTAGATTGCAAACTGCTCGAGGGCAAAGATTGTCTTTCTTTTTTTATTTATATCTCCAAGGCTTAGCATAATGCCTGACTACGTAGTAGGTGCATAATACATGTTTGTTGACTGCCTGCTGACTAACATGTCCACTCTTCACCTGCAAAATGAGAGGATTGGACTTCTAGCTCTGGATACTATGATTCTGTAATGGGGCTGACATGTCTAGACAGTAATTCTGTCTTGAAAAATCTAGGGGTATTCGTGAAATAAGTTACCACTGATATGGAAGCCATGAAAGCTAATGCATTCTTAGGTTGTACTAAGAGAGTCATAGGGTCTTGTACTAGGGAGGTAAGTAGTCCTGCTAAGCCCAATCCTGATCAGACCAAATCTGAGTATATTCAGTTCTGAGTACCATATTTTGGGAACAATGTTGATTAGTGCTTGTATATGGGATTTTAGTTCCAGTATGGGTTGTGCTATGTGTTTGAGGTCCCTTCCAATTCTCATATTTTTGTATTTCTGTGGAAAGTTGTACTTTATAGTTATTGGGAAAAAATTTCATTCAACAAATATGTTGTGACTCTAACCAGGGGAGTCTCTTCTCATTTTTTTTTTTTGGTGAGGCAGTTGGGATTAAGTGACTTGCCCAGAGTCACACAGCTAGTGAATGTTATGTGTCTGAGGTTGGATTTGAACTCAGGTCCTTCAGACTCCAGGGCCGGTGCTCTATCCACTGCAACACCTAGCTGCCCCGTCTCTTCTCATTTTACAGTCCCCTTTCTCTACGCATTATTCCTTTAACTTAAAAAAGAATACACTAAACTACTTTTCAAAAGTTCTATACTTGGGAGTCTTATGTTTCTGGCAGTCCTTTTCATTATACTGACAAATTCAAGTAGCTTATTGTTTAATTATTTCCTTCCTTAGTGAAAAGAACAATTTTGTTGACTCTTTACCCCAGTTGCTTTGTAGTTTTCTGAGTTCTTCTTTGTGTAGTCTTGTGATTTCTGTAGTGCTGTGTTTGACTCAGACTCTGTATCTGAGAACTATCAGGACAGTTCGTCACCTTGTGATTAAATCCCCTGAGAAACAGGTCTAGATTTTTTTGTTCCTTTTCTTTTTACTCTTTTTGTCATGTGTCCCATATTAGATATCAACATTGTTTTTTATCTTTCTGTTTTTGTATCAATGCTTTAAAAATTCAATGTTGTATTAAGCTTCACTACTCTCAAATATTTTTATAGGGTATTGTTTCTTTCCTATTCTGCTTCATTAATACTTTATATCTCTTCCATTTTACAATAGTATGTTCTTGAAAAATTGTGTATGTAGTGAATTTATATAAATTAGCTTGTGTTTTAGGCAACCAATGCTTGTTGACTTTATTGTGAAATGCACTAAGAAAATCCTCTGTTTGAATCAATAGTCAAGAAATCTTTTTTTTTTTTTTAAAGCAGAGATTCCTGTTATAATGTGGCAATCAACAAATAGCTTACCTGTTTTGTATCTCTGGATTTTTTTATGAAATAAATCTCTTAAAGCAGGGCATATGTGTTCTATCATATAGATGTATGTGAGTATGGTGTGCTAGTATGTCACATTTCAAAATTTTAGTCTTTTCATATAATTTTTTCATTCTTTTTTTCCATACTGTGTGTATGTGAAGACTTAAAATCCTTTAAAATCCCACTGCTTCCTGTTCATATACTTGTTCATGTGCTTTTATATGGACAGATTACTCATTCATTGTTACAGTTTTTACTTTAGCAGTTTTAAGAGCTTTTGGTAAGAGACTCTGTGCATGCTTTTATTTCTGGGTCTTGTCAGTTGGAGGGTAGGAAGGAGGTGAAAATTTTATGGTATCAGTAAGACTGGCCTTGGAAGGATGTGAACTGGGAAGTAACATACTTAATGGTTTGGTAGCGGCACAATGGGGTGTCATATCTTAATAGATGAGAATGTAAGGCTGGGATTGTGGTTCTTGACCAGTGGTATGAAGCACTTCTACACTTTTTAAAAGAGATGTCAATATTTTTTTTGGGTGGCATGTTCCATTGCCATAAGATCCTAGAATTTAAAGTTGTAAAGGGACCTTAGGGACTGTCTAGTCATTTTGTAGTAGAGTAAATGGAGGCCTAAAGAAGTTAAGCAATCTGCCCAAAGTAGAAAAAAAAAATGGAATGTGGGCTCCTTTGAGGCAGGCTTTGTCTCTGTGTCCATGGTCCCTAGCATACACCCTTGCTCTGACATATTTGTACTTAATAAAATATCTGTTAAGTGAATGTGAGCAAAGCAAGTAACAACACTGGGTCCTCTGACTCCAAGTCTAGTGCTCTTTTCACCACCCCCACAGGCTTATGTGAAAGTCATTAATGAAGAACGTCTTGGTCTGTGCTGCCACATCCATCTCACCTCCACCTTTAGAGATGCATCTTCTGCTTGGGCTAGGATTGTATCCAGGAGGAAGAAGAAGAGTCTCTGTGCTCCCTGGAGAGGAGGCAGCTCCATCAGTCAATGTCCTGAGAGAGACTTACTTCCACCAAAGCTAAGGATGAATGTAGTCATCGATTCTACTGTGTCATGAGCACTCACGTTACAGTCTACAAAGACTGACTGCTGCCACCCACTTTCTTGTAACTTTATTCCAAAGGTAGCATTGAAAGTTATCATTGGAAACACACAATATTTTCAGACTTTAAAGTTTTATTTCATGCATTTAGAGCAAAGCAATTGCTTCACTTTTCATTCCATATTTCCTGTGTCCAGCACTTGGCCAGCCCAACTTCTGGTTTAACTTGAAGTGCTTGGTCAGCAGCAGCAGAAGGAATGTAAATCCACATGCCTGTATTATAATTCCCTGTTGGGTAACAGAAGTGAGACATTTTGTTAGCTGTTCCTGTGTCTCTTCACTGCTGTATCACCTGGTTAAGTTGCAGCTTGGCGATGATGGTTCGATCCTTTTTAGCATTTTTTCTTGGTTCCTAAGCACTGGGTTTTCTTTTCTACTTAAAAAAAAATCTGAGCTAACATATTATAAGAACAACTGAATATGAAGATCTAGCACAAAGGGTATTACTATAAAATAATGAGACTTTTTCTCTTGTACTTTATATGATCTCTCTCCTTAGCCACATCTTTTGTGTGTGTGTGCGTGTTTGTGTATAAATTTACTGTGGCACTTCTATAAGTTCTTCAAGAGATCTGTGATTTTTATCAGTATGGGTACTAATTCTACCAATGCAGATTACAACCTTTTGCCATAATAGATGAACTTCATGAATTTCTATGGCCAAAAAATTGTCCCTGTCTATCCTTTTTAGTGAGGATACTCTCTGAAGTTAGGCTGGCACATAGGTGGCAGACACACAGTTTGACATGAGGCTTAATAGGACCAGATACAGCTTGTGCTCTTCTTGCATACTGTTAGAGGATCCAGGGCTACCTTGATGTTTCACAGAGCCTCTTGAATAGGACTTTGGAGTTACAGTAGCTAATTTACCATACATTTAATGATATAAAGAATCATTATTGTGTTCCATCATAATTTAGCACAATTAATAATCAGCTTATATAACTGGAATTAATAATACTTTTACACAATCCAGTACCATTGTAAGTTTTTTCTTTTCATTTTGTTAATTTTCCAGTAACTATAATTGATGTTTTTTTTTACAATTTTCTCATCACAATTTTCTCTCCTTCCTGATTCTTAAAACTCTCATCCTCTGGGGATGAGGTATTTCCTTCATTCTGCTTCATCCATCAAGACAGTCCATGTCATACTACTTCCCATTCTTTGGTGCTTAGGCTTTAGGAAGCAGAAATAGTTGAACATCAGACTATTGATTACTTACCTAATTGTGGTGGGTATTGTGGATGGGCCAGCTGCATGATCTCTGCATTCTAACAAAAAAAACAAAAAGAAAAGAAATCAGTTTAGCAAAACTAAACAACCCATCAACTGAGTCTGACATTTTATTATATAGTATTCTATGCCCATTGTCCCCACTTCTCTCAATGAAGGAAGAGTGATACATTTTCTCTTTTATCATGTAATATATTCTTAATAAGTCTGGGTTGGTAGACTCAGGGACAGACTTGGTCATTACAGTTACACAATATTCAGTTTGGAACTTTTTGTTTTTTTCCATTTACGTTGTTGTAGTCATTGTGTGTATTGTTTTCCTGAGTCTACTTATTTTACTCTGCATCATTTCAGACAAATCCTATGCTTATTTAAATTCTTCATTATTTCTCAGCAATATTCCACTATATTTATGTGCCATAATTTTTTTGGCCATTATCCAAATGGACCTATAGATGAATTTCGAATGTATATATCCAGCCTGAAAAGCTTTCTCTTAACTCTAGTCCCACATTGCCAGCTGCCTACTGGACATCTTTTCTTGGAGATCCAGTGGACACCTTAAGTTCAGTGTATCCAAAGTGGAATTCATTATCTCTTATTCCTTAAACCTATTCTTTTTCTAAACTTCTCTGTTGAGGGCATTATCTTCCCAGGCTCCTAGGTTCATAACCTCCAAGTCATCCTGGATTCTTTTCTCTCCCCAATCCCTCCAAATTCAATCAGTGCCCAGTGGACATTATGCAACACAGATTTGTAGTGGACCTCTTAAGAAAGGTTGCATGACTTTTTCCACCTTTGTTTAGCAGCAGATTTGTAGAAGTGAAGGGAGCAGATGGTGGGAATGCTCTGAGGCTGAAGTTTGTCAGGGCACAATTGGCAATATGATAAGGGATTTAACATCTCAAGAGAAGAGGATGGTATGAGGTTGAATTGGTTCACCCAGAGGTCAGGATGGGGAAAGGAGAAGAATATGGCTAGTGCAAGGGTGATGGCCTCAGAGAGAACTGAGAAATTGAGAGATTGGAAGTCTTGGTGTGGACAAAGAGCAGAGTTTGGTATTAGAAGGAAGAGGGAGAGAGTTGGAAAGCCAGTAGATTGTGATCAGACAAGGGAATTTGAGAGTTCCTGAACAAGAAGATTGTGCATTTGTAGGTGATGATAAGATCATTAAATGTATGACTATCTCTGAGTGTAGCTGAGGTTATGTGAAGGTGAAAGTCATTAGAAATGAGCAGGCTGAGTAACTGGGAAGTAAAGGTATTTGAGGGAGTATTAATATAAGTATTGATATATGAGGCCGGGAATTGAGGAGGAGAGAGATTGTTAGCCAGGTACCGAACTCACTAAGGAAGGAAGGAAAGGGAGTGTCCTGGAGGTCTGTAGAGAGCAGCTACCAGAATTTTATTGGGTGGTACGTGTAGACTGTATAGACTTCAAAGGAGGTGAGGTTATTGATTAATGGTGATAGGAGGAGAACTTGGAAGTGGTAATGAGGAGCAAGGAGGGTTCTAACTCCCCCATCTCAATCAATGAACTTAGGGGAGTGAGTTAAAGTACAGCCGGTGCTGAACAGAATGACCAAGGAACCAACTGAACGTAGGTCTCAATGAAAGCCATGAAATAGAAAGTGTGAGAAAGGAAAAGATTTGAAATGAAACGAAGTTTGTTGCCTATGGAGCAGCCATTCTGGAGGGTACAGTGGTTGCAACTTTGGGGTGAGTATATTTAAGGGGATGATAATATGGTATTGGATATTGGGGAAGAGGATTTAAATGATGATCTGTAAGGGTACAAAATCACTGGTATGTGGAGGGCAAGACCATGTGGGAATTTGTTAATCATTACTTGAAAAATTTAAAGAGATTTTTGAAGTCAATCATATTGTCTGACCTAAGGGTGGAGTCCTTTCAGAATCTGAGGCAGTTTAGGCCAGCTGGAAAAACTTGGGACAAGAGTGGTTTTACTCTTCTTCCCCATAGCAGAAGACTGGGCTGGAAGCATGATGGAGTGGCACCCTCTCCCAACACCTCAGCATGGAGAGACTGATTAGATGGAATGGCTCTTCTCCTATTCCTGCAGGAGACTGGAGATCAGGCAAGAAATGCATAGATACGATGTAAAGAATCCAGTTTAAAATCCCAGGGAAGGCTGGAGATCAGGCAGGAGATGTGTACAGCCAAATGGAAGGCCCCCTGCCATTCCTCTTTACACTCCTTCTGGAGGTCATGGTGCTGCAAGATGGAAGGTATGCCTCCTGGCCTGCCAGAGGCTAGCAATCAGGTAGGAAACGTGCGCAGCAGCACCACGATAGAAAGAGTGCAGCCAGATGGAAGGCCCCTGGCCTCTCCTCTTTATACTCAATCCAATTTTATAGCATCAGCTCTTTTTTTTTTTCTATCTACTTGGCCACCACTTTAGTTCAGGCCCTCATCATCTGTTGCCTAGACTATTGTAATAGCTTCTTCTTGGTTTCCCTGCTTTCATCATCACCCGTCTTCAATCCTTCTTCCGCACAGCTACTATAAATAGCAGTCGTATGGCACAGGTCTGACCATGTCACTCTCACGTTCAGAAATCGTCAGTGGTTCCCATTTGCCTTTAGGATAAAATTAAAGCTCCACAGACTGCATTTAAGAACCTCCATAACCTGGTTTCTGCTTACCTGTCCAGTTTTATTTCATATTTGCTTCCCCCACAAACTCCATGTTCTGGCGCCATGGCACACTAGAGATGACTTTCCTGTTCCCCCAGCCCTGTCCTCATGTCTGAAATACCCTCATTTCTCCATCTTCTACTCAGAATTCTTGTCTTCTTCAAATCTTAGCTCAGGTGCTACCTCTTCCAGAGGCTCCCTATATTATCTATTATGTGTTATATACCTCCAGTAGAATGTAAAGGCCTTGAAAGCCAGACAGTCCATTTTTGTCTTGGCTTCTCTGATGATTAGCACAGTGCCTTATGCAGATTAAGCACAGATGCTTAATAAATGTTTGTTGTTGAATTGAAATCTAGTCCACCCTGCTTGTTTTGTTCTTGAGGATTCTGGATTCCAGAGAAAAGGAGAGGGACTCACCTAAGATTACACAACTAGACAGTAGCTGAGCCAAGACTTATTAAACCCAGGCCTTCTGGTCCCGAGATCTGTACTTTTTCAACTGTACAACTGTATTTCCTTTAAACCAACAGATCCACTTCCTTCAACAGAATCATCCCCTCTATTATAGACTACTTAAAACCTCTAGATTAATTTAATAAAATCATAGAATCTTAGACTTAGAATGGACCTCAGGGGTCATGTAGTCCGACCCCAAACCAAAGCCGAAATTCCTTCTATATTTCTCCAGTGGGTGATCAATCACCAGGTTTGGTTTTTTTTTGTTTTTGTTTTTGTTTTTTGAAGACCTCAGTGCCTTTTGGAGGTAGCCCCATTCTACTTTTAGATAGCTTTATTTGCTCCTTAAGTTCCTGTAGCTTCCACTCATTTATCTAAGTTCTTCTCTGTGACACAACTAGAATAAATTTAGCCTTTTTTACATATGAAAACTCTATGCTTGAAGATAGCTATCATGTCACCTAAGTAATTTCTTCTTCAGACTAACCATCCCTAGGTCCTTCAGTGAAGCTTCTTTTGACATGATTTCTAATTCCTTCACTATTCTACTTAATGTCTTCTGGTTTAGGTCCAACTTGTTAATGTTATTCCTAAAATATGATACCCATAATTGGGTATAGTATTCCAGATGTTATCTAAAAAAGCAGAATATAGTAAGACTTTCACTTTTTTTCGCCATGGACACTATACTTTTGTTCTCTATTATACAGTTGACTCATATTAAGCATTTAGGCAATCAAAATTCACAGGTCTTTTTCACATGAACTGTTACCTAGCTCTACCCTCATCCATCCTATGCTTATGCAGTTGATTTTTTGAAACCAACTGCAGGACTTTATATTTATTCCTTTTAAGTTTAATTTTATTAAATTTGGTCTGTTGTTTCAGGCTGTCTTTTCATATCCTGATTCTGTTTTTCATTGTATTACCATCCCTACTTGCTGTGTGACTTTTGAGAGTTTAATGTAGATGTCTTTATGTTTTTAAAGCATTAATAAAAATTTCATCAGAACAAGGCCAAAGCCAGAGTCTTGAAGTACTCCATTAGAGAGCCTTCTTGAAATGTATAACTGGCTATAAGACTGTATCTAAAGATTATTTGTTAAAAGATTGATGTTTATCTAGAGAGACGTCTTTAGTAGTATCTCATAACACTGTCAACAACCCTCTCCTGTTCAGTGTTTTTATCAGAGGCTTGAGTGAAGACCCACTAGGAAGACCTCGTGTCCTGTGCTTGATTGTATCTATGATTCTATTCATTCAGGTGTTCCCACTAACAATGTAGATCATAACCTTGTGAAATATTTTCCAGTTGGCAGCTGTACCTGCCCATCCTATAGTATTCTTTCCCATGCCCTTCAGCAGGTTTACCCCAGGGTCTATCCAACATGCATGGAGGTCTTCCTCCTGACATTATAAGTGGGTATCAGGAGAATCCAAAAGCTATTCATTAGACCAGCCCATCTTGCTATTTCTTTTCTGTTAAATAATTCCTTAATGACATCCTTTACTCCTTTTTTTCTTTTTAGCTCTTCATTGGTTACATATTTCACAACCATCATGTACTTTTCCATGGCCCTCTCTATGATTCTTGTATTTAGTGCCTTGATGTTCTAGATATCATTACAGTAAAAAAAAAAAATTCTCATAAACGTTTGTATTGAAAATGAATCTTTGCTGCTACGGGAAGATTTGGAGTGGGTAAAAGTGCTTGGCAGTTTTCTGAAAGCAATCCAACCTGTTAGCCTCCTCCTTTTAAACTCTGGGCCTAGCTCATTGTCCATCTGTACTGTCTGTCCCCGATATACGTGTTGTTGGACAAATTTTATAGGAGATTCAGATGCATCTGATGTTGAAATCTGGGCAATAGACATGCTTTTTCTATTGGGTCTTTCTGTTGTGGATGGATAAGCCACACTCTTTTGAGTGATTATAAAGCTCTTCCAGGAGGCTCTTCAATGTCTCAGAACTTGATGCAATCAACACCGTGAGAGTCACTGAGGATTTTTTTGAATAGGGAATTGAAATGGCCAGCATTGTGTTTTAGGAATATTCATTGGCACCAGTGTAGATGATGGATTGGAAGGGTGAGACTGGAATCAGGAATGTCAAATGAGGATGCAATTGCAATTGAGAACTCTTTTAAAAATTGAAGGTTTGTTGCATGGAGAAAGGATTTAGAGTTACTGGGGCAACT